TTTATTTTATTTTTATATATATATATGTTCATGTCTGATGACATTCTGCTTTCATCTGATGCTGAATGGCTGTTCAGCCATCATCTGTTTGGGTCTTCATACTTGACAGAAAGGCACATGCTATATGTTTCATGAGCACTTTATGAGAAGGATCAATATGTCTTCAAATGCTAATTTGATCAGTAAGTCAAGGTAATCTTCATTTAGTAATCAAGCTGGACAGTCAGTAAGGATTCTTAGTGTATGCTACCACAACCTGAAGAAATACAGGTTTTGAAAATATTTTGTGCAACTTGGATATTGGAAGGTGGATGGGAAGGGAGGTAATGGTGTATTTCTACAGCTGCTTATGCAGGCCATAGTTTCTGCCAGGGACCCACTCCATGGGCTCTTCATGGACTGCAGCTTCCTTCAGGGCATGTCCATCTGCTGCAGCACAGGGTTCTCCATGGACTGCAGGGTGGGTATCTGCTCCACCAAGGTCCTGTGTGGGCTGCAAGGAGACCGCTTGTGTCGCCATGATCTTCTCCGTGGGCTGCAGGGGAATCTCTGCTCTGGCACCTGGAGCACCTCTTCTTCCTCCTTCACTGACCTCAGTGTCTGCAGAGCTGTTTCTCTCACATTTTCTCACTCCTCTCTCCCAGATGCTGTTGCACAGTGCTTTTTACACTTTCTTAAATATGTTATCACAGAGGTACCACCACTGTCGCTGATGGGCTCAGCTTTGGGCAGCAGCATCTATGTCTGACATGGGAGATCAGCTCCTGGTGTCTTCTCACAGAGGCCATCCCTGCAGACGCCTTGCTACAAGAACCTTGCTATCTAAACTCAATACACTGGCCTACTTCCCCTTCCACTGCCCCCCAAATTTCCCACTGCAGCTTTCTTGGTCCTACTCACTCTGCTGACAGAAAGATGGTGGTATGAAAGTGGATGCGTGTACGGCCCCATGGCATCACTGTTTTGTTAACTGCTCTGTCAACAAGATTGCTCTGGCTAGTGTTTGTTTACGGGGTGGCTTCTGTACCAGAATTTGATTTATATTTGGGCGATTTCTTGCCATGACGTGTACAACTGAACTAGTAGTAATGCAGCAGTGGGAAGCAATTGAAGAATTGCTGAAGAGTTTCCAACTATAGCTCCTTTTTATAATAGCAGTGATCTAAAAATACACTTCAGTGATTGATTAAACATGGAGACATCAGTAGTTAGTTTTGTTTTTATTGTTTTATTTGTTATTGTTTCTATCCTTACAGAAGTGTAAAAGGGTACGCCATTATTATTTTTATAATCATTAGGGGCTATCTGTGATATGCTTGCAGTGGTTTTTACCTGTGAGTGGGTATGAGAAGTTAAATCTGCAGAACACAGGTAGGCAGTTTTTTAAAGCCACTTAAGTATGCTCTCATCAAACTAAATTGAATCCAAATAATATGGTTTTAATTGGAAAAGGTCTGCATAAAATAAAACCCAGGTGTCTCTCCCAGGTGAAGGCTTCAGTTTCTGATTAGAATAGAGCATTTCTCGTGACAGCAATGTTTTCAAAGTCCTTGAATTGTTTTAAAAACACGCATTTTTTTAATTCCTTCAGTGTTCTGCCATAATTTTTTTCCTCCCTTTCTTCTGTTGCAGTGGAACATATCACTCCAGAGATGAAAGCACAGACAGTGGACTTAGCATGAGCAGTTACAGCGTACCCAGAACCCCCGATGACTTCCTGAACAGTGTTGATGAGATGGATACAGGTCTGTTTTTGTGTACATCTTTTCCAAATACACTTGTCCATTTGCAATGGATACAAGCAACTCTGAGAAGCTGTGATACTTTTTGCGTTGTTTTTCTGCCTTCTATTTCTGTAATAGAAATATTATGGTTAGATTTGGGAAAAACATATTTGTAATCAGCTCTATTGGGAGGATGGGGATTGCTCATCAATAATACTGCTCCTGTTGTTATGGAATTTGAGTGTCCATTTGCTTTTTAAAGTGATATTGTTTGTTCAGAGCTAAGAATAATACCTCATCCAGTGTTGCTAATACTGCCCCAAAACAATATTTGACTCAGTATTGTATTTTTCCTTTAAGTGTAAAAATTAAAATATGCTAAATGACATCAAAGATCTGTGGAGATTTGGGTCAGTAGGTGAAAATGTTGAAACAAGGCACGTTCTTTGTACGTCTGCATGCAGCCAAGTCATCTTTGGGTTTTGTGATGGATTTCTATGAATCATGTTGCTTGCATGATGCAAGAAATACAGGACTTACCTTTAACCAGTTGTCCTGATAAATTCTGGGTTTGGTACGTCCAGTATAATAAATATCCCTCTTGCTTTGCGTTATAACTAGGTGACAGTATCAGCCAAAGTAACATCCCATCCCATCAGAACCGTTTTCCAGACTACCTTGAAGCCATTCCAGGGACAAATGTGGACCTTGGTACACTGGAAGGAGATGGGATGAATATAGAAGGAGAAGAACTGATGCCAAGTCTGCAAGAGGCTTTGAGCTCTGACATCCTCAATGACATGGAGTCTGTCTTGGCAGCCACCAAGCTAGATAAAGAGAGTTTTCTTACTTGGTTATAGGGGCCTCAGGGAGACTGAATTCTAAATCTGTGAAGGATCTAAGGAGAATAGGACATCTGTATCTGAAGTTCAGAACAAGCCAGTGTGGCACACTTTGGCTTGTGTTCAGACAAAGTAAATGAACAAATATTCAACAAGATTATTTCGTTTTGCTCTTCCTTGTCCATCGCTGCTGTTATATATTGCTGACTTTTTTCCACAGTTGACTCTGAAGAACAGACATCTTCTTGATCTTTTTCTATTGCTGTTGCAACTACTGTTCAAGGGGGGTAGGGAGGGATGATGAGCCTATTTGGATGACGAATGCCATTCCTTTTGTCCTAGTGTGCGCTTCCATATCATTTTATCTAAGTACTCAGATTTGAGAGTTAACTTCTGCATGTCACTGCTTGTAGTTTGCTCAGCTAGTTGTCTCCTGCTGCCTGTGGCAAGTGGTAAAACATGATATACTGGGGTGACAAGCCAAAAATGATGTATCTGGTCAAAAAAGTCAATACTGATTTGGAGATACGACTTAAAGGAGGGCTGAAGACTGTTTGGCATTAAGTGTTTCTACTAGTAGCTCTTTCATTAGTCACAAAGTGCTCTTGTTCATATTTTATGTTATAGTAAATCATGAGTCATTTTACATAGAAACATATATGAACTTTGATTGTTGCCACATATTCTAGCCTAACTTTTGTTTGTCAAAAGTAGTTTGATTATTTTTGTTAGTTGGTTTACCTGTAGCTGTAGGATGGGAATTATAGGTGTTCTTTTTTTAAAAAATAGTGAAATCTAAGGGGTTTTTTTCTGATTTCACATAGTCTTATTTAAATCTGAAATGTCTGCTTTTTTTATACTTAAAACATGCCTATTGTAGCCTGATAAGCTAGTGAGTACATAAACCAGTATGTTTTGCCTGTAACTTTTTTATTTTTTTTAAAGGCTAGGTTTGAATGTAATCATTAGAATTCATGACCAGTGGCTTATTTTTCATGTTTTCATGCAAGATTTTGAACTAGAATCCAATTACAGCAATGTAAAAGTTAGAATCCTGTGTCATATATACGATTTTAAAATGCATTTTAAAGTAGCAGAAACCATTTTAAAATGACAGATGTAACTAATCTCTCTTCTGGTTTTCAGTTTTGATATCTAAATGAATTTAGATTTTAAAATCCTTTTATAAGAAAAAAAATTATAAGAATATTTTCTTAAGTGAGCATGGAAAAAGTCTGAACTATTAATCTCACTCTGAGTTGCAATGAAAAGGCTAGAACACCAAAAAGAAAAAATCCTCAAGAAAAACTCCGAAGTGTAATAGTTATCAAATTCTGTTTGGTGAAAAATAAGCCCTGGACACTATATGTAGAAGAATGTAAAGATATGTGTTAGATGGTGACATGAGCAGGTAATGAAGTGTATATTAGTAGTAGAGCTTAGCATGGGGTAGAGGTGAATATGAATTATCTTTTATTTTAACAGGAGAAGACATATCACTAAGTTGTCTGCAGGAGTTGACACAGTTTCCAAAGAGTATTTCTAAATGAACAAAATGAGCATGAATCAAACTGTCAGTATAAGCTATGAAGTTTTGTGGGGCTTCTTTTTTCTGATGAAAAATAGTGTCACCAATTAACACCGCTATAATTAAGGGCCTGTCACCATTCTCGGCATGACCCTTTATTTTCAAGGTGTGTAACATGACTATAAAGATACTGTAAGCATGAAACTTGTTTTTTAAAAAAGTCTCAGCTAGTAGGGACTTCTGGGGAGAGATTTTTAGGGTTTTTTGTTTTGTGGTTGTTGTTTTTTAAAAAAAACTGATTATTTTTCAAGTTAGGAATGAAACAGCAAAACAAAGCAAAAAACCCCATGTTATTATTATCATCATTTGGACTTTTTTAATGCTTCAGAAATAGTTCTGGTTTAGGATAATGTAAAGAATGGAAACTCTGAACCAAGTCGCATTTTAAAAACTGAAGCAGCAGAGGCAGAGATTTGAAATTTGCCACTATAAATGTACCTTTACTACTTTATATAAGGATACTAGTGTTTGAAATACACAAAATTGTTTGTGGCTTGTTACGGAAAACAGGCAGGTTTTAAAATACCAGTTTTCAAGGTGGATCCACAGCGACAAATACATTCTGCTACACCGATAATTCAGTGATTAATAGGCCACTTATATTGTGCAATGACACAGTAGCTCCTAAAGCAGTGTATTGTGTCCAAGATAGGGATTTTAGTAGCATTTTTACAATTTCATTATGATTACTTCTCTCTTCTTCCCTTCAGGAGAAAAAGACACTAAGTTGTTATAACTTGAATGGTCTGACATAAAACCACAACAGCAAGGAAATTCGGAGTAGATTCCATTTCAGTTGTCTTCCACAGTCGTATCCAGGTATAACAGCACGTACGATGCACTGAGTGCAAGCTCCTGGTGTGCTGTACCTCGCTGCAGCAGGGAGGAGTACAGAACAAATTTTTTTTCCTTGCTTTTGGGTGTTTGTCACAGCTTTATTATTTGACTGTTTCCTTCTCATTGTAGAAACACTAAATGGCTTATACTGTATTTGGGTAGCACTGCTTAGGGTAGATACTGACAAACTGGGAATCCTTGAACTGCTCTAACATTAATTCTGTTTTGTGATACTTTATTTTAATTGATTTTAATACATTTCCGTTCTCATTCATTAGGAAACATACCATAGAGATGCTGTACTGTTGGCAGTCAATGTTAATTTGGTTTGTTTTTTTTAATTCTGCAAATGAATTGCTTAATGAAGTGGTTAAAATTGTTTGAAACGCAGAAGTGTTTTGGGTAGTATTTTATACTGATGTATATATTGAAACAGAAATCATTGTAATAATTGTAATAGCTTTTAGTTATAAATACACTACATGGAGACAGACAGGGCTGTACAGTACTGTGCTGTTCAACACTTGGGCAGGGCTACTGCTTGGAAATAGGTTGCAGTGTCAGTAAACCATATGGATCAAATATTGTACCATTCAGTGTTGGCGCTCACCAATGCAAAAGGAGAAGAGACAATTTCAACATGATTAACACTACATAGCTTTCACACATCTGGCAAATTAGTACTAAAGTGACCTTTTCACTTACAAGCATGTTTTTTATACAAATTAACAGGTGTGCCTGTGTAAAATAATTTTTCTGTATCTTCAAAAAAGTACTCTCCGCATTTAGAATGTTGTATGTTAGAGAATTCTTAAATGCACCCTTGTCAAAAATTATATATATTAGTTACCAATGTTACTTTTAGATATGAGCATGACTGTAAGTTAGGTACTTAAGTACGTTCTGTTACATTATTTTTCTTTATGTAATACTTTTTCAGTTGTTTTATTTGGTATAAATATATACTTTGTGCTTAAACATCTTTGTTTGTTTTTAACATTCAGTAGTATGTAAAGATGCTGATTTCCTCCAGTAAGATGGATGCATTGAATTGTTGGAATTCTTACTGTATTATGTCTGTTCTCGTCTCTCTTCTCACAGCTTTTGTAGTCGTAAACTCCAGTGCCGCAAACATTGTGCACAAGTTCACGTAAGACAAAGGAGTCCCACTGAAGTCAGTGAAGGCTTGACATTAACGTGTGCATCTGTGTTTGCAATAATGAAGAGACAGTGACTCTACTGAGCCTCATACGGTTTGTGTAAAAACAGTAATTGCATATGGCACTATAGTGAGAGCTGGTAACAGAACGTCTGTTATCTGTGCTATAAGAAAGCATCCACTTTTTGCAGATGTGCTTGCAATGTTCAGGATCTTCCCATATAGCAGATACCTTTTTTTTTTTTTTGCTAATTTGTGGCAGACTATCAATAAAGACACACTATTTTCATTTCCATGTTCTGACTTATGAATTGTGCAATATGTCATGACATAGCTTAGAAGAGTGAAGATTTGAGTTTAAAAAATTTTAACAAGATTCATTCTGTAAAACAAATTCTGAAAGGTGTTTTGGGTTTTTTTATGTAATGCAATTCATGATGGCAGAAGTCCTACACTGCATTTTAGCAGTTCCAAAGTTGTTACTATTCAGCAGTGAAATGCCTGAACCCTGTGAAATTCAGTGCAGCTGTGTGTGTTTTCAGAGGTAAAGGTCCAAGGCTCAGTGCTTCTATCAGTTTGTCTTTTATTCGTGAGTTCATAGCTGGGTTTAGTCACTCGGATCCTTTAAATTTAAACCTAACATCACACCTTGCACCTGGGAGTAGAAAGCCAGCGCCAGGACATGACAAGGCACCACTTTTGTTTGCTGATACCATTCTCTCCCATTTACAAGGTGGTGACATATTGCAGTAGTTGAAGTATGAGTGACCTTCTGAGGCAGCCCTAAGTAGCCTGGATTACAGCACAGCAGGATGTCTGCTCCAGGTGCTCCAGGCTCACTTGGCAACTCTTTTTGAAATATTTTCAACACTTAATCAAAAATAAGAAGTAGTGGTTTCAGTAAGCCAGAAGCAGTATGCTTCCAAGGAAGCTTTAAATCTTCCCTATGCTAACGTTCAAGTTATCACCAAAAAAGCATTTTTTTTCACCTCGGTTCATTAACAAAATAATTATTTGAGATCAGGCTATGATCTGTGAAGCACCTCCTGTTCTGCAGGTTTATTCGGAGATAAAGTGGGGCCATTGATTTTATTTACAGCGTCAGCATCCATAGTTTATATGTTCCTGCTTAAGAATAAATGTGTGCTTCTTGCCCCTTGGCGTAATGACTTATTATTGCTAACAATAGTTATCCTCAGCCTCTAAATTTAGATTTCATCAAAGCAGGAAGACATCTGTACTACAGGAAGACATCTGTACAGCATGAAAAATCTTTGCTGACATGAAATGGTAAAACCAACACTAAGTGAAGAACCAAATTGTCTTTAGGATATTGGGTAGAGCTTTGTACCATCTGCCATATCCAGTACTAAAAGTCTCTTAAACAAAAAAGCCAGTATGTTTTTATCTAAAGTAAAAGAATTGAGGAAGCATGTTGAATAAGAAACCTATGAATACCAATACATCTGACAAAGTTGCCTAGTGGGTTTTGTGGAAAACTCATGATTTTTACTTTTCATGACATACTCCTCTCTTTAATGCAGAGGTGGTAACAGTGAATGCTACAGATGTAGGCTGTTACTGCCTTGTATTATTTTCTCTATATGAGAGTGAAGTAGGTCACTCTGATTATGGTATTTTTTTATATTGAAGTGTCTTGTATTAGAACATGAGAGACAAAGTAATTTTGTTGGTTTTTCCTGTTTTTTTATTTATTAGCAAGTGATTAAAAAAAAAGTCAAGAGCAGCCCAAGAGGCTTTTCTTCAGTGTTATGCGGTGACAAAATGGAGCTTCATAAAAATGTAATGTTGTATCTCACCTGAAATGCCCTTCCTCCTTCTCCCTTTCTGAGCTACTCCAGTGGTTTTAAAATGATCTACTGTATTTACCATCTGTGAGCTTTGCTTGCCTAACACCTAAAGACCGGGGTCGTAGCACTGGGTGCTGTTCATCCTCTGAAGGGAGCAGAGTTCCTCCTCTCCAGAATGCAGCTGTCCACCTGTTTGATGTCTGTAAAGTAATGTCAGTCTGACCCCAAACGTGCTGCCCAGCCACTGTTACAGGACGGTTATTGGCAAGCACAATTTTTTGAACAGTGGTGGATTCCTGTTCTGGTTCGACTTCCCAGGGACTGGAAAAGTCCAGCTCTTGATTACTTTGAATTCTGCAGCTGGCTGTCATAGCAAGGGCATGGAGTCCTCCCCACACCAGTCCCACCGTGCCTGCTGGAAGACTCCCAACCAGCACTTCAACTTGACATTAAGTGTTGGGGTTTTTTTGAAGCTGACAGTTTTATTCGGTCTTACACTCATAGTTTCATTGTAGGCGTACAAATACAGTTGTCTCAGCTCTCTTGCCTGACAGGTGGCCCATTTCAGACTTCACTAAGGGCTACAATCCCTTCGCACCAATCATCCACTGTTGAAAAGTGTGTACCA